ATTACTTACAGAAGTAAAAAAAAATACTCATTTATGAAGAAAAGCATCATTGGACAATTTATAAATAAGTCTGGATTAATGGCTCATCTTTCACCATAGCTTTGGAAGTAAAGTATTGGCAAGAAACTAAAGGAAAACTCTACAGACACTAAATGCCCAAATTACAGACCTTCACACACGATTAGGAAAAAAATAATTTTAAGTTTATTAATGCTACTTCATTTTACTGCTTAATCATTTATCCTTGCTAAACGCAGCCTCATTATGACATATGGATTTCTCAGGTGAAATTCCAACACAGACTTGATTCAAAGCAGAATACACTCAGCCCTTGAAGTTCGAGTCATATGCAGCTCTTCAAGTCAAACCATGTAAAACCTTCAGCCTTTTGATGACTTGCACCTGTCTTAAAATATTTTTGAAGAACCACTGGCTACCCAGAAATTGCTTTTCCCCCCTGCGTCGCTTCTGTAACGTAGTTTCACTTCAAGTTTGCCAAAAGCACGTTAACAGCAAGGATGGTGTAAAGAAATCTAATCCAATCAATAGGCAGACAACTGCTTAATGTAGCCAAATAAAATGTACTCATCCAAATCAGTCAGACCATGTTTTCTCCAAACTAGTAAACAGCTGCAGACACAGTCTGCTTCCCATCAAGTGTTTCATGTATAACAAACTATACCTTGTATCTCTAATGGTTCACTAGTAGTTTTTCAAAACCATGACTTTCAAAATATATGACAACCATATTTTATTGAAGAAAGGAATAGGCTTAGAATGCCCAAGCCACAAATTGAAGACCAACCCAGAAACTACTGTAGTTGCCAAAAGTCTGCTGAATGTCAGTATTTACTGGCATTTTTATTATTATGAATGCAAGTGCAGACCAACTTCTTCAAAGAAGAAACACTTCAAGCGTGACAGAAAAGGAAAAGCTCACAACTCGTATTATAACAGCACAGGAGCAGAGAAAATAACTCCTTTAACACTGTCTGGAAAAGGTATCCCAAAGGAGCAGTTGTAAATGTGTTTAAAAGATGGAGAACCTTAAAAATAAATTCACATCTTACATTCTGGTCTGTGGTATCAGCAGTGCTAAAATAACTAGGAACTTCGAAAATCTAGTAAAATTTTGACTGCTGCAAACATGAAAACTACCCTTAGTGAGACTGCTGAAGTACAAAACTTCTACCCACCATAATTTTTGTGATTTATTTTCAATTCATTCACAAGCAAAAGATCCTTACAATGCACAAGAATACACAGAGGAAGCCAGTCAGACCGAGACACATTTTCAAATCTCTGAACAGCAGTAAACTATCATGAACTTAAATCAGGTATTTACTGTTTTTGCTTGACTATGTACATAAATTCCTAGCCCTTTAAAAATTTAACTGACTCCTGTATGTACTTCAGAGAGCTGATTTTGCACTTTTGTGACTGTTATAAACTAAAATTAAGTGCATACTTTCTCTGACTCAGAGTAATAACAAACAGGACAATAAATCGTGAATAAACAAACAGGAAACAACGACCCAGACTATAATCTCTCACAAAGAGGACAACAGAGACTGGTCTGGTAAAATATGGGACATCAATGCCTAAAATTCTTAATCTACCCTATCCTAACACTCTTTACCTATGCTTGCAGCATGAGTTCCCTGTGGCACACAACTCCAAAAGAGCTCCTCTGTTGTTATTGTAATGTCCTGTGGAATCATAGTAAAGAAAATTTGAATTAATGTCACTTTTAGAAGCATTAGTTGTAGTTATGATGTCCACATGGCTATCCTCTGCATAAAACACAGAACTAAAGAGCTGTATTAAATTCCTTTTCTGCATCTGGTTACCTCCAGTAAGAACTGCAAAGAGCCGACTCATTTCATCCATTTGAGATTTCTTGAAATTTACCTGATAGAGTTCCAACAGCAGCACATGCTCCTTCTAGGATCCCAAATAAGCATCACTCGAAGAGAAAGTAATCTGGCCACAAATTACCAAACACTTACTTGCATTACCCTTTAAGCATGCTAACTTTGAGGACAATGACAAACCATTTTTGTAATTCCTGGAGACTGTTGTCACAGCATTGTTAGGTAATGAATGAATTCTTGAATATATCACAAGTCCAAGCTCTAGAAATTTTTTGGTGGTATGCTCAGTAAAATGATCTGCTCTGTCACAGTGCAGTAAATAAGGTAAATGGTTAGAGCTCTAATTTCCAGTATTCGGCCCCTGTGTGCAACTGATTCATTAGAATTAGAAAACTTGGTGAAACTCTGAGGTTAATTGAACAAAGAACTCTGCTGCATTTCTTTTTTTTTAATATGATTCATATATCAAGGAATGTATGCTACACTTGATGCATTACTTCAGCAAAGATTAACTGCAAATAACTACCAAACAGCTGTATGGCCTGTTTTCCAGTATGTATGGAAAGACAGACAGTCTATAATGTAATGTCTTGAATTTCAGCACTAACATAATAAAACCTGCTGATTTTACACCAGCTTGTGGTACAGGTGCAAAGGACTTGGGTTACTGGCAAGCATAAGGAAAATTAATCTAGAAACCAGAAGGATAGCTTCTCCCATTCCATAAACAATTTATAAAATTAATTGCAATAGCATACACATCAACTCTGGATGTGTAACCAGCTATGATTGACCAATACAATCAGAACACACGGAAAAAGCCAAATACTTCCTTCTAAAAGTAATTGATATAGACAGATCACATAACCAATAACTGGGAATTGGTTCCTTCAAGTTATTTCTGGAAATTTATGAGTCTCGTAGAAGAACCAAAAATGTCTATTTTCATTAAAAACATAGAAGTAGAGGGGAAATGTCAGTCTTGTAAGAAACTTCATTTGAAGTTAACATAATTTATCTCTTAGCTACTACTGAAAAGTTGTGATTTACAGAAGGTGAATCACTAATGCCTCCTAAAGCTATGAACATACACACAGGCTATATTTTAGCCCTATACCTCAGGTGTTACAACTTCCTGAAGAAATCCCAATTGGCCCATTAAAAGAAAGATCAGATAGCAGAGTAACTTATTTCAGTAAAAAGTCTCTCAAGTCAAGAGGAAAAAATAAAGCCAGGCTTTATGCATCTACTCACAACAGAGCCACAGCCTAAACAGCTGAGGTAACTTTCACAAACTAACTTCTCTCAGCATGTCAAAAACCCAAAGTTGCATACGTTAGCAAACTATCTAGAAAGGTCTCAAAAAACACATGCCAGTATAGAGAGGCACAATGGATGGGCCTATGGAACACAACTGTTACTTGAGAAAGTTTTTTTTATAGAATTAGGACAGAGAAATATATTCCACCCCCCCCAAAAAGAAAAGGATATCTTGCCCCTTGCAATTCTAAGGTGGCAAGACTAAATTGTGACAGAAGTTGTCAGAGAATCTATATAGGTATACTGCATCAAGCAGTTCAAAGCAAATTAAAATACCTATATGCATATGCATGTTTTTTTCAAAAATAGTCAAAAGGCTGCAGACAGTCTGGGCTGCTTCTTGCCTAACACCAAGATACACATGTTCAAAGAACAGTGTGAGAACTGAATGAAAAAGGAAATAAAAGAGATTCTGATGCTTTAACTATTTCTGGAACTTTGCACAATAGGAACTTCACGCAAAACCGGGTGAAGGGCTGTAATATATTTCCCATGTGAAAAGCCCTTTACACCTAAATACTCCTCTATTTTTTCTTAAAAAAAATGGAAGCCATATTTGCCTAACATTCCTCAAGCTACAGTCCTTTGCAACACATGCTGTCATACAAGCTTAAAAAGCTAACACACAAGCACAGGGCATTTTGCATTTAGATTTCTCTCACAGACAACATAGTTAGTATCCTATTGAGGGGTTGCAAGGCTCAAAAGGCTACAGATCCAGTATTACTCCCTTTATACAAATCTACTTTGGGATTAGCCAAAGGAAGTCTGTCTAGATAGTACCTTATCAAACACAGCCCACCTGAGATGACTAATGTTAATTGCAGTTAACCAGGAAGACACATAAATATCGATTATTTCTCTGAGTAATCATCATCTCTACACTGGCATGGATATCAAGAGATGAAATCTAATGCTTGATATAAACTTTTCAGAAACTAGAATGAAGAGATTTTGGACTTCTCCAAATGTGTTTTCTATGTATGCATTTGTGTGTTCTGGAAATAATCAGCCTTGCTATCCCAAATGGAAGCAATGTTGCTCGTCTCCCACTCTTCACATTTTCTGTGTTACATATTCTTTAGGACAAGAGACCACTTCTTTACTCCAAAGGTAATAGTGACAGACTTAAAAGTTACAGTTAACACTTTTAGCTATATGTCTGATGGGGATATCATTTGTTTGTTTGCTTCTTTAAAGATACAGCTCAACTATTCTATGCATTCTAGTATTAAAGCAAATATTCTTGACATTCAGCCTTTGGACTTAGTTTTGACCAAAGTCTTCCTGAAGTGACTATACTAACCCAAATTCAAATCACTTACTAGTACTTGGCATATGAATCTGACATCATGTCCACTTTCTAGTTAATAAATTAATACAATTCTGCATGTAAAAACCACACACCAAATTCTGTCCTTTTTCGTGAAAGTCGTATTTCAGCATCTGGCAGGCATACAATCTTCAGATTAATTCTTAGGAAGATACTTATCCTGTCATAGGTCCGATTTTATTTTTAAAAAGAAAACCCCAAACTACTATTACAAGACAGACAGGATTTTATGGGTTACAAAGTATTTCAGTTGTAAGCAAGTTCTTCATAACTCTTCTAGCTTTTAGAACCATGCAGAAATAAGTACTCCCTCTTTCAGGCCTATCTTTATCTGATAAACAACGTCTTAAGGTTAAACTTTATCAGAGTAAAATTTATATAAACCAGTACAAGTTAAAAAAAGGCCAGTGACTTTGCCACAGATGCTATGTGAAATTACGGTGAGTGGATCTGAGTTTAGCTTGACACCTTACCTGACTGGCTTTCTCTCTCGTAGCAAGTCTTCCAGACTCTTTTCACAGTGTTCAGCTGCCACAACCAGTCTCTCTAATGAAGAAAAAAAAAAAAAAAGTATAAGAGGACTAAAATCCAAATGAGACAATGGGAATACAGACTTCTCAGTCTACCTATTTGGCAGATGTTAAAGTATTTTGACATACATTGTATGGGAAATTACATATAATTAAAAGTTAAAGATGTACAACTTCTGGATATTGCCACCATTTTAATTTCTGAGATACAGCAGATTATCATTCTTGTTTCCTCATGCAAAGCACTGTCAACTCATCCACCCAGTAACCTCCTAATAAACGTTAAACCCTTCAGCCAGTGTCAGCCAGATTTAACGTAAGAACAGAAGTTTCAAAGAAGATAAACATCTACAAATCTGCAGAAATCTGTTGCTGGGTTGATGAAAGAGAGACTCAAAGTAACATCAGGTTTGAGAAAAAGGACTCAGAGTGAGCACAGGAGTTTCAGTCCTGATAGGCCAACTAGCACATTACTAGCTCTAGTAATTCTTGCCCAACAAATAGTTACAGGACTTGCAGGAGTCCCACATGTTCCAAAGATTGATGGGCTGGCTCTGAATACAGATGAAAAGACAAAAAAATTGTTGCACTGAAGACAGCAATTATAAAGTAGGAAAAGACAGTGGTGTAAGATGTTACATGGGGATGTGAGACAACCCCTAAAGAAGCTGGGCTTTGCTACTCCCACTACTCATGGAACAGCTAGCAGTGAATTATCAGATTCAAAACCAAATCAAACTAAACTATTTCAAACATATTTTTATAAGACAACTGTTACAGTAAGATAAAAAAGGAAACCACTTCGAGGAACACAAGTCATAACATTACAGCTGAAATGCTTGTTACTCAACTCTTCACTTCTCCTTTTAGAAATTAAAAGATCATTTAAGCTTCCTTTGGATGAAAAAATTCTGGGATTGCCTTTTACAATGTTAGCAAAGATTTACAAGTAGCTTAATTAAAAAGAAAAAAATCAGTTTGAATGTTTTCCTCCTACTTTCATATTCCCCTTTTGAGGGTCTTTGGGAGGAATGCATACATCTGATTAACTTTTGTTGCATTATTTTCCTAGTCTGCTTTCATATTTCTCCATAAGGGTAGAAACTGACATTTGCAAGAAAAATAATACTAAATCACTATGCATAGGATTGACAAGTGAAAAATTCTGTCAGTATCACAATGATAGGATTTGCCACCAAATTTGCCATACTGTCTCAAAGTGATTAACTGCTATTCTAACCACCAGGAACAGAACAGTCTCCTGAATTCATGGTTAGACATTTTATTTGGTATCCTTCAAGTTACTTCAATTATCAGAAGATGCTTCTCCTTCATATTTATACACGCTCATAAGCCTTCATCTCATTGATTCTTCATTGTCAAAAAGGCCACATTTTCCTATTTAACCATCTCTTTTATTTACTAAGTGTTATGTTAGCTAATGTTTCTTAACCTTTCATCCCTAACAGTATTGTAAGAAAAATCCAGTTTTCCGTTTCAAGACATACTAGTGAAAACAAGATGAAAATGAATACACTTTCTAGATCTCCAGCCTGCAGAAAACAAAAAATTTACAAGTTTGAGGGCAAATGAAAACACACAAAGAACACCCCTCCACGTGGAATTCTTCAGTGTCTGGAGTTGGCAATATTCTCATTTTCTGAAAATCTGAAACATCCTATCTTACTGAAAATTTTACCTTACTGAAAAAATTATTTGCTCTACTTTGCAAGACTCTAGCTAATCAAACAAACATATACAGTGCACTTTGATATGGGAGCCTTGTTGATTTAAAAGTTAAAGGTGGCGACCGCTTAAATGGTCATGTGTTGCAGCCTTTTTGTAGAAATTACGTACTGTACTCCTGCAGACCTTGTAACAGAGTAAGATCATCTGGAGCAGAAAAAACAGCCATGATAAGTTCCGAAAAATTCTGTACTAGAATAAAGTAATTGTTAGTGGGAGAGATCTTAAAGAACTAGAATAAAGAAAAATATAATAATAATAAGGAAAGCTTGCAGCCAAGACACAAGATAACTGAGAGAAGAACAGCTGCAAATCAAGTACGAGAAAACTGTCACATGAAAATGTTCACAAGATTAGAACATGGGTGTAGCTCAGCATCAAAAATACACGTATTTCAATGTCCCACACAAAGACACGGCACAGCAATTGAGTACAAGAATTTTTACAGTGAGGTATAAAAAGAAGAAAGCTCTTAGCTTTTATCAGTTATCATAACATATAACAAAAGACAACAGACAACTAACCTCTGCCTTGACTCTGGAGAGAAGAAACAAAAGCACCAGTACTGCCAGTCACAGCAAAGGCATACAGTCATTTTGAGACTGAAAATCAGCCACTTTCTGGTGCTATAAAGGCAATATTCTGCTCAGTCACCTTTAGATATATTGTCACAAAAATATAACTGTAACCATCTGTAAAATTTTCTTTTTCAACAGGTACTCACCATGTTTACCTCTGGTAATGTCAACATACTGGCAAAGCCTGGGATGAGTGATTGTTTTAAGGATTTGAAATCTTCCCAAAATTTTGATGGAGTTAGGTGTCAGAGGAAGGCCATTACTTCCACAAACATCATGAGGCAGAGCTGAGGCAAAGAAGGTGGAGGCACCCATCTCAGTGTCTTTTAAAGGAAACATATTTTTCACACAATCTTGAGCCCTTTGGAGCAATTTGTGTTCCCTAAAAAGAGAACACAGAGTAAAAATTTATGTGCAAAAGATACAGATTCTTGTGACTCAGCTTACTAGTTATTTACTAAACAGTGCTACTAATCCAGGTGGTGACTGAGACACTATGAGCTGTCATTAGGCTGTATTATCCCTCTGTACATGTTAACTTCCATAACACATACATACTTGTGTGTCAGGATATCTATACAAACAGAGATAAAAAGGCCAAGCCTATACTCTCTTAAGTGAGCTCTGGTCTGGAAGTTGTGATGGTGAAGCAGGTGGCACTTCCACATAACATGGGATAAGAGGCCATAGAACAAAAAAAAAAGAACAACAACAACAACAAAAAACCCAAACCAAAACAAAAAAGAGTCATTAAGGAGCCTGTGCAGAAGGGTACCATCCAGCTCACTTCAACTCCAGCGATGTTGCGGTCTGGAGGCATCTGTGTATACAATCAACAGAATGTTTTTCCATTGATGGAAAGCACATCCAGCTCTCCTGTCAGCTACAGAATAGCAACTATAAACTCTAATCAGTAGAAACAGATACACAGTTGCTACAGGTAAAGGGGAGAGAGAACACTCAGGATTTGAAGCCCATAAAAGAAATAACAAGGGAAGCTTAAAGTATAAAACCAACGTAATTCTTTCAAACCAGAAAGACCCTTCATGTTAGGAGCTTCATGAAACAAAAAACAAGAAGAACAAGATTATGCAGAGCACTAATGAAGCTAAGTGCTACTTTTAAATTGTTCTTTCTGCCTGACCTGCTGCTTTCAGGAAAAGCTATGCTCTTATGAGAATGTCACACAAGAGAAACAGAACCTTTCATAATTATTTATTCTCTCAGGGATTAACCTTGTTCCCAGCAAAAAATTCCCAGTAAAAAACTACTAAGTTTCTTTTGTGAATATAAATTAGAGACTGACCCTGTAACAGGTTGCACAGAGATCCTAATATACCAAACATATTTACTAAGTCTATACAAATGGAAATTAGGGAATGTACTTTCTGTTTTAAATAATACAGTCCAATCTAAAATCCAAAGCAAATATAAGACTGCTCTCATTTGTGGTTTTTTTTTCTCCTTGAAGAAACACAGACATGAGATATATATGTACATTTAAATTCTAATACACATGATAATATTAAATATGAATGCATAGCATTAAGGAATCAGACTTAAGAAAGGAAAAAAATAAATCTGAAACAGCATTGAGCACTGGAGTTTTTATAGTAGTATTTTTGTATTAAAAGTTTTCTTTCTGAAGATACAATGCTTTCATATCTCATGTATATTGAATGTTTTTTGGAAGTGATTTATTTTAGGATGCCAATAATGCCATTTAAAGTTAGAATATTCCATTGGAAAGACATAAATTGGACTGAGTGCAAGCACAAAGATTTATTGGCAGGCAGCAAGTTCCACTTGGAAAGCTTTAACTATGTATTTATAATAATATCCACAACCTTGTAAAAAACATCATGTCTGCCAAATGAACTACTCAGCTTCAGAAAGAAAATATATATTAACCATGAAGAAAAAAACCTGTGATTTACAGAATTAATTACAGTCTTGCTTGGCACAACAGTCCTCTAATAATCACTCTGAAATAAAATTTTAAAAAGTTAATATGATCAGAGTGAGGGAAGGAAGAGTAAAATCATGCCAAACAGTGAGATGTATTATGTCTATAAAAAGTGAAGTACGTAGTGTGCAATATATTTATTCAGGTAAGAAATGTTTTCATTTCTATTGTAGAAAAATAATCTGCTAGACAGTACTTCTCTAATACATTGTATCTGTGTTCAGCTGACATTTAGAAAGGAATTTTAATAAAAAGAATTGTTAAATATCATCGATTCAATAACCATTATAAGAGATTTAACTCTTGTACTCTAGATCACTTGGCCTAGAAGGATGAATTAGATAGACCACCTACAATGCTTCCAACTAGACAACTGCAGATTTCCTTTGGTAAGGAAGACATGAGACAAGCAAATTCTTGTCAGCCACCTAAAGGAATCAATAAAGAATTATAAAAGGTATGCATTAAAACAAGTTCTCTTTTTATAGAGCTAATTCTTTGGAATCCACTAAAGTAATGAAAATAAATTCTCTCTGATGATGCAAAAGAACTAGTTCTGTCAATAGCTGCCTTCACAAGTAAACTCTGATCTCTGTTCTTAACTCTCAACTTCTATAAATTCCAGGGACTGCCCTGAAAAATAAACCAACACCCAAACCAAAAACTTAATCCTTCCACCACCTTTAAAAGGGCCACACATTACCCCAGTAACTTACTGACATTTCTAAATTCAAGCAGAAGTGTTACACATATTTTTTAAATTAATCTGAAAAAAGAACTTATCTAACTATTTTTAAATTGTGGGCATTTTTGTTTGTTGTGGGGCTTTTCGGGGTTTTGTTTTGTTTTGTTTTTTTTTAATCCACGTCAAAGTCTGGCACAATTATAGAGAGTGCTACACATCCTCCTCGTGTTCAAGGCACACAATGTTACACCTCAAACTCACTTTTCCATATAGAAAAGAAACACATTGCATTAATTTTATGATTTGGAGGAGAGAATTATATCCTGCAGAACTTCCATATCACTTTGAAATAAAAAGAGGAAAGGAAAAAGGAAGGTTTGTTATTTTAAACCGACACCGGAAACAGGAAAGGCAAATTCAATTTTGGGACCGAATTCTGGAAATTCAATTCTGATAATCCAAAACAGTGAGGATGGGAGAGGAAGTGAAGACTTGTCTTATTAGTGTCATCCAAGATTACTGAGTCACTCTTT